AGTATTATGTCACAAGGGGACTATTTTTTTTTTTTTGATCCAGTCTATTTGGTGTTCTGTAACCTTCTTGCATCTTCATAGGTATATTTTTCTTTAGGATGGGAAAGGTTTTTTTTTTTTTAATTATTTTGTTGAATATATTTTCTGGACTTTTGAGTTGGACTTCTCTTTCTTCTGCTCCCACTGAGTTTACTGCCTTGGGCCTGCTTGTGCAAAGGTCACTGGCTTGGGCCTTCTCCAGCAGATGTTGTTGGCTCAGGCCTGCTCCTTTGGAGGTTTCTGACTGGGGCCTGCTCCCCCAGCAGTGGTTCTCTTGTACCTGCTCCTGTGAAGGTTGCTGCCTCGGGCCTGCTCCAGCTGAGGTTGCTGGCTCAGACCTGTTCCAACAGATGTCCCTGGCTTGGGCCTGCTTCCTTGGCAATTGCTCCCTTGTACCTGCTCCTGTGAAGGTTGCTGCCTCAGGCCTGCTCCAGCTGAGGTCTATCCCTATGGAGGTCACTGCTTTGGGCCTGCTCTGGAGGATGTTGCGTGGAGGTTGATGCTTTGAGCCTGCTCTGGCTGAGATCACTGTCTCAGGCCTGTTCCCACAGACGTCCCTGGCTTGGGCCTGCTCCTGTGGAGTTCCCTGGCATAGTCTTGTAGAGGTCTGTGGCTTAGGCCCCAGCTGTCTTTCTTAACCCCATCTTCTCAGGGCTGTTAGATGTCAGTTGACACACAGATGTTCTAACAGAAACAGCAGGTTGCAAAATGTACAATTTCTGAAGAGTTGCTAAATAGAAATAAGAATCATGAACTCCAGGGGCTGCCAAAAGTTTAGACTGATGTGTCTCATTCTCATTCTATAAACAGCACAAATCTCTCAATCTAATTTGTTGGTTTTGTTTACTCTTGTTTTAAAAACAAAGTGTAGCTATGTGTCCAAGCTGGCCTTAAAGTTGCCATCTTCTTGCCTCTGTCTACCGAGTGCTGGTACTAAAGCCATGTGCTACTATGCTTGCTTTCAAGAACTTGTTCTTAAGGACAGTTTCCAACAGTCAAACCCTACTAGGTCAACCTAGTCTAATGTGGTCAAGTCAACAAGGGAGAGTGTGATAAAGGCACTTCCAGGGGACCTCACCAAGCAAAGAGAGGAGAGTCATGTGTTTAGACAAGGGATAGGTAAGTGCATAGAGTGAAGAAGTTGGCAAGATGGCTTAGTGGTAACAAGTTGTCTTCTGTCCTCCACTTTTGCACACACACTAAACAAACAAACAACATCTAATAAAAGTGAGGGAGAAAGCCTTGTGATAGATTCAAAGCCAAATATGGTATGCAGCTGTTTCTTCTGAATTTAAAAGTTCCCTCCTAGGAGCCAGGACTAAGATTCAGGAAGTAAAGGAAATTTGCAAGTCCTAGGAAGCTCAGAAAGACACAACACAAGTTAGCACCTCTCTCCCCAACGGACACAATGGCTGCTGGAGTAGACTCCCTTAGATGTTGCTAGATACTCCCAACTGGAGATAGACTCTAGGGATGCAGATCGAGCTGGTGTGGGTTTTATGATGATGAAGCTGCTTTAAGTCACCTGTGCTCCAATAAGTAACTCCAATGAACTAGTTGGTCCAGCATACTGGACTCCAAAGAACTGTTCTTAGTGTCCTAACTGGAGTGCATAGAGCTTTATGGATGTGTCTCAGGGAGAAGCCAGGACAAACAAGCCATGAGCAGCAGCATTATTTTTGTTAAAGGACAACCTACTTCCTTGGTAAATATATAAATTAAGATTGCTGTGGTTGAGCATTGTGGAACACATAATCCCACTACTGTAGTGGCTGAGGCAGGAGGATTATTTGAGCCCAGTTCAAGATCACCAGTGGGTTACATATTAAGAGGCTTTCTCAACAAACAAAAATACACTCCCTCCCACAAAAAAAAAAAAAAAAAAAAAAAAAAAACAAGCCCAAACAAAAAGAGCTAGGTGTGGTAGTATATTTACAGATGGAATCCCAACACTTAGGAGTAGAGGCAGAAGATCATCCTCAGCTGCATGATGAGTTTGAGGTCAGCCTGGGCTACTACATTTTTAAAAAACCTGTATGAAAAGAAAAAAAGGTAACTTGAATTTCTAAATAGAACATAGGTTGGCTTACCCGTGTGTAGCAACCAAGACTACTTCTCTAACTCTGAGACTGACAGGCAGAGGTGTGTACTCCGTGGATCTCATACTCAAATAGCACCACACTTGAGTGTGGCTTATGGGAATGAGATTTTAGCCTGTGTTCTGGTGTTAATCGACTGAAATGTTTTTAGAGATTCATATCAGCACAGCAAGATGTACATAATTCTGACTGAAACAACAAAAAGACAAATAGATGTAAAATGCTGAAGTTGCCTGAACAAGGAACAGAAACAAACCTTGAAAGGAATGTAGTCACTTGGTGACTTTTAAACATCCTTCACTTACAATAAGACCCTGAGAGGTGGAGGAAGGGCTGTGGGGTAAAGCTGGATTTTACTCTGAAGAAGCAATGTTGTGAGTCTTCTGACTTCTATAATGTTATCCCTAATCTCACTGGAGGGGGACATTGGTAGGACAGCAAGGGTAACTCATTGTTTAGAGTGTCTGAACCTGACCTGACCTATCTAAAGTTGAGAAGATGCAGGCATTGGTAGAGTTGAGGAGAAAGAACAGAGAGATGGTTCTGTAGAGGGCAGCAGGGCTGCTCTTCTGTGAATGGGAAGAAGGCATGTCTATGTTGTTTTTTTGGGAACCAGAAAGAACAATCCACACAAAGTGTACTGCAAGAAACTAGAGGCAATGCCCAGAGCCTGCGAGGTGCAGCCATGTGCACAAGTTCATGTCTCTAAGAATGACTGAAAATACAGGAAAACATAAGCTACAGTCAACATTGGACAACTCAGAGAATAAACATTCAGGGAAACAGCACTGGGCAAATAGGAATGTGTCAATCCTGTATCCTCCTCCTCCTCCTTCTTTCTTTATGAACTGGAAAGAGGATTCTGGGGATGTAAAGTCAGATTTTCTTCCTGTTGAGGAAGACAGAGCCTGCCTAGCTGGGAAGTGTTGGTATGGGAGGTCCTTCGGCCTTTGTGTTGCTTTCATTGGTTAATACAGAAACTGCTTTGGGGCTGTTGATAGGGCAAAATTTACGTAGGCAGGGAAAACTAAATGGCATGCTGGGATAAAGGAGGCAGAATCAGAGAGACGCCATGGATCCACCAGATACAGATGCTGGAAATTTTACCCAGTATGCCACTGCCACATGGCAATACACAGATTAATAGAAATGGGTTAAGTTAAGATGTAAGAATTAGTCAATAAGGAACTAGAGCTAATGGGCCAAGCAGTGATTTATTAATACAGTTTCTGCGTGGTTATTTTGGGGCTAAGCTAGCTGGGCAGCTGGGACAAACAAGCAGCCCCTCCTTGCAACAAAGTGTGGATTTTGTTTGTTTTGTTTTGCAGGGCTTGAGATCAAACCAAGGGACCCCAGACACCTAGACACACCTCCATGGCTTATTTTGAAGGAAGCTAGTGTTGACCAAAATGTTGCTATTCACCTTTAAGTTCTATAATTGGGGAATAAAATGACTACAATATTTTTTATTGCTTATGAACCATCAGAAAAGTTACCAAATTGTCTCATGCTGGGTCAGATCTCTTCCTCCAAGGTTTCTGCTGAAGGGACAATGGCATCCTCTGCCATCCATCCCACCAGTATTTGGTGATGTCACAATGGTCTCACTGTGTGGCAGCAGTGTATTTATTCACTCACATTCATTAAGTCTTCCAGGAGAGGCGCTCTTCAGAGAGGGAGGCCAGCTGACAGAAGAATTGTGGAGAGCAGAGGCTTGAAACTGGGCAGCGAAGCAGATTTGCAGAGAAAACTGGCTCCCCTCTGAGCCTTTGGTTTTGGCTTCTGGATCTCCCCATTAGTGTAAAACAAACCAAAAACAAAAACAAAAAAAATGAGAGTTTTATCCACCTCCATTTGTTCTCACTATTATGTAGTTCATCAAGCTGTTGAAAGAAATACCTAATATCCTATGGCCTGTTTCAGAATTTGTGAGATTGAGAGAATTCCAGGGTGGACTATGTGTCACACCTCAGCCTGGCTGGACATGTGTGCGCATCCTTCCCATTACTTGGATTAGCCACAGGCCATTGATCCCTAACCCCAGCCCCTGCCTCCTTTGGCTTTTAATGTTCAAAGTTTGTCACATCACGGCACTCTTATTTTCTTATTTCTTCCACCAGCTGAGCTTTTCCACTCTATCACCCAAAATTCTATGTCATTTTTCTTCCTTTTTGGCCAAATATTTATTAAGTACAAAATTCTTTGTGTCACTGAGTCCTGCTGTAATAATTCTACTTACATGTTATTTTATGTGTTGCATAAGTATATCGGAAGGATAGATACACCTCAGTCATCCTGTGAACTGCTTCAAGAGACGGAAGAGTGTAGAGATTGTATTTTCCTCCATCATGGAAAAACTCACCCCTTGCATATTTCCTAAGTTTATTTTCCTTCCTTATCTATTTTCTATTTTTTTTAAAGTTTGTTTTTATGAAGAACTAGGAAAGTAATGCCTACTTTCTATGAACACAGACAAGCATTAAGAAACTCACTTCTACTCTCACCAAAGGTGAAAACATCCATGACTTCTTTGCTGTCTCACATCTTTCTGAATTTTATTCAGCATTTAAAATAAATCCCAGCGACCTCAATAAATTAATATGATATTGAAGATGAGATGGTATTCAACAAAAGGTCTCACAAAAAAACAAGATGGTAGGAACTCATCCCCTGCTCAGGGAACCCTGCATCCAGAGAGTTCTCTTCTTAGATTGCTAGCTTCCCCACTGCACCGCCTTCTGCTGCCAGCCACCTAGGCTTGAGAAGACAAGGGCAAAAAGAGCAGCGGGGCGGGGCGGGGCGGGAAGGGACGGAGAGGAGGAGCTACAGTGCTGCTACCAATCAGGGCTCTGTTCTGCTTGCCCTTGCCAACCAATGAGGGATCTCTGAGACGACCTTATTGTAGGCAGTCCTTGAACAGTCTTGACCCACAGCTTTTGCGGCTCTCGGCCGACGGGCCCATAGACCCCGCCCTTCCAAGATTCCACCCAACTAGACTCCGCCCCTCGAAGCCCGCCCCACATGACCCCGCCCCCTCGAAGCTCCACCCCCGGGACGGGACCGGGGTGTGAGGTGCGGGGGGTGCTGTGGGCTGGTTCGTCCTGCTCTGCGGCGGCGGCGGCGGCGGCGGGTCGGATCAGCTTCCCGATTGTCCTTAGATCCCGAGCTACGGAGCTGAGCGTCGTTGACTGCAGCGGCGGCGGATCGGATCAGCCTCCTGATTATCTCAGATCCTGAGCTACGGAGCTTAGCAGAGCAGGTAAGGGGCCGGTGGACAGCGGCGCCTCTCGCAGTCCCGGCTCCTGCGGCTGCGCTCTCTGAAACCGCCGCCGGCCTCCAGGCGCCTCGCGCTAGCACCTTGCGGAGAGGCGGGCAGAGGAGGGGGTGCAGGCGCGGGCGGATCCTTGGACTGTGGGGCGCTGCGGGACGCGGCAGCTGAGCCAAGGCGGGAAGACCTGCGGGAGATGAGACTGCGGGGGACAAGGACCTGCTAAGTAGTAAAAAGGCTTTTTTATCTCCTTCGGCCAGAAGACGTCTTTACTTGAGTCCTGTTTAATTCAGGTTTATTAGACTCTAGGCATTGCGAGTTCACGGAGTTCACCGCGATGTTATTTGCTCTTTTACTTAAAGTAGCCTTTTTTTCGAGAATCTGTTTGGGAACGTTTACCTAAGTGACAAGTAGACCCAGCACTGTGACTGGTGACTCACCTTTATCTGGGCTGAAGTGGGGAGGGAAGGGTGAAAGGAATGGGGGAGGAGTGTTCAGATGGTGCCGGTGCGGGTTCGAGAGTACTGTGGGGGTGGACCTGCCGCTGTCATGCCACGGATGGGAGTGAAATTGTGGTTTTCCCCCAAGTTCCTCCTTCCCTCTCTCTCCCTCTCTCTCCCTTTCCCTTCTTTCTTTTCCTTTTTCTTCCCCTCCTTCTTCAACCAACAGCAGTGAAACAGAAAAGCCTTTTAAAAAGCAGTCTGTGGACTTTAGGCTACAGGACTGCACCTGCTGCTTGAACACTTGTCAGACACATCCTAGGCAATTCAATACGTGATTAAAATGGTCTTGGAAAAAGTACCTTGAGTGACTGTTAACTTTTCTTTAGCCTGCCCAGCATGCCATCTGCCCACAGGTGAAATGATACCGCCCACTGAGGTTTAGAAGGCTAGCGTCTGTGCGCAGTGATGCCTTTGAAGTGCCTTCTCCTTGCCCAGGTGCACACAGGTTCCCTTAGGTGTGTTCATAAAGCTCACAGCACTTGCCAGTTATTTTTCCCCGGGGACAACTGTGCAGAAAATGCCCGTTTTACAGTCACAAGAACGGAAAGCTCTTGTGATGAAAGAAACTATAGCGCGGACACTTAACTAGCACTTTATCTGAGATCTGAGTAAGACTTGAATTTATCAAGCACAGTACAGGATCAGAGATGGTCATTTTCAAGAAATACCTTCTTTTAGTTTTTCTAGGCAGCTACTAAGATAGTTTGAAAGTTCCCAGAAAGGTAATTTTCCACACAGGTAATAATAATAATAATAATAATAATAATAATAATAAATCTGATAGTGCTTCATGAGAGTCTATTGAAATATTTTGGGGAGAGGTCTTTGCAAATCCACTAGTTTTCCACTGCACATCTAACTTAGCCGTGTCTTTCAGAAGTTTTGTGAATTGGTCTGAAAGAATGAGGATGCATTTTGATGGATATTGATTATAAGATGACTTTGAGCAAAGTTTTTACATTTGTGGAAGGATTAAAAATGTAGCAATAATTTTTTTATTAGAATAATTCAAGCATAGGAATTTACGTAGCCACTATGGGGTGATGTCATGGCTTGGGGAACTCTAGAAGATTGTTAGGTTTTGTTAAAGGAATTAAGAACATTGAAACATCTCATGAATTATTAAATGGAATTGTTCTTATGAAGTAATCCTTTTTGTGTTTTATGTAACACACTGTGCTGTATTACAGGCATACTACATTTTGTTATAACTTACTGACCTGCTCTATAGTATCTAGGGTATCACCTCTGCTGTAATGATGGGGATTTGGGAGTGGGAGGGTAAACAGGCTCCCACTCTCAGGGGAAGGAGGCTCTTGGGAGCACTGCCAGGCCCTGGGATATGTGGGCACCGGAGGGTGAGCAGTTGTAAGTGGTAAAAGATGCCCTGGAGTCAGCTGCATAGAGTGCGTTTCCCTTTTGAAGCAGCATCCAGGCTAACCCACACTGCCGTCAGTTTAAGGCTCTCTAAGGGCCAGACTTAGGTTAGGTGTGCTCCAGTCTTTGACTATGTTTTCAGTTTTGTTTTTTTCCCCTATAGGCTCTCGCTATGTAGACCAGCCTAGTCTCTCCAACACCAGCCTTCTTTACACTCAGCTTCAATGTTTGGAATGAGTGGAATCTTGAGCTTTCTCAAGCTAATGAGCTGGGAATGTATACGGACAGCTTTAAGCAGTGTCCATTTGCCTATGGTGGGTGCTTGGCCTTCTAACTCAGAGTCTTCATTTTGAGAAGCACATTGATAGCAGGTGAACTTCACAGGGCATGCACTTGTGCTGCTCAGGTTAGGAATGTAGACTGGTCACAGAGAAGAGCAGCAGCACTGGGGAGCTGTGAAGTGTTGAATTAAGAGCAGCAGGGCTGCGTCCCCGGCACCCGGCCGCCCGCATGGCTAGCTTATGCCCAGAAATAATTACACGGAAACTGTATTCTTTCAAACACTGCCTGGCCCATAAGTTCCAGCTTCTTATTGGCTAGCTCTTACATATTGTTCTAACCCATTTCTAATATTCTGTGTAGCCCACGAGCTGGCTTACCAGGGAGGATCTTAACCTGTGTCTGTCTGGAGCGGGAGAATCATGGCGACTCCTTCACTAAGCTTCTTTCTCCCAGAATTCTCTTCTGTCTACTCCGCCTACCTAATTTTCTGTCCTATGAGGGCCGAGGCAGTTTCTTTATTATAATTAACCAATGTCCTTCCTCCATCAGTGAAGGGCAGGAAAAGCCACATTGTTAGTTGACTCTGTGACTTAAAATCTCTTGGAAAGGGTTTTCCTGTATCTGTAGGTAGAGAAGTCTGAATGTCAAGAATCAGTTAGTTTTGAGGGTTGTGACTTCTTTTTTGGCAAATGGAAGTTTGTTATCAAGATTTGGAGTTGAACTCAGGCTTAAAAGGATTATGGAGCCATGAGCCAGATTTACCATGCTTCCACTGACTGTATTGCTTAATTTCTTCCTAATATGTCTTTTGATGTAGTGTATTTAAATTTAACTCGGTCCCTAGGAGAGTACAGAGTATCTGGTCTCTTCCCTGGGGACCCCCTCACCCACACTTGGTACCAATACCCCCTAATCTAAGGCTGGATGCTCAAGTTCTAGGTACAAAATGACCTGTACTTGTGTGTAGCCCGCATGCTTTGAACCATCTCTAGATGACAAGGACTGCAGATCCTTTCCTGTTACAGCACAGAGGGCACCCGAGTAGCTGCTAGGCTTTGTTGTTTAAGGAATGATGATGGAAGTCTGTTTGTGCTCCTCTTCTGACCCACACTTGACTGGATCCTGAGATGGGGAGATGCACAGGTGAGAGGCGCGATTGTGCCTGGCTGAGTTTTTTCCAGGGCTGGGTTGTCTTAATTTTTAAAATTACACTTGTATGTTCATCTGTTGCATGTGCACATGCATGCATATACTTGCCACAGTGAGGGACAGAAGTTAAAGGACAACTGCTTATCCACATGGGTTCCAGGAATCAAACTCAGGTTTGGTGGCAAACACCCTTACCCACTGAGCCCTCTCAGTGATTCACTGAACTCTGATTTGTCCCTTTTTTAAATTTTTTTAAAAATTTTTTTTAAATGTGCCATAGTCAAAATACAGATTAGGCCCTTTTTTCAGGTTTGGGAGAGAAGCTGATGAGACTTTGGGGGCTGTGGGTATCGAGGAAATCAATTGACATTGTTTTGAAATATTTATAGTCATTTAAACTAGGTCAGAACCCTACATTTAGGGTTTTTTCAAAATGGTGATCATTTCACCCTCAACACAAAATGTAGGCTAGTGATTCTCAAACCTTTGTGGACTGTGAAAATGTGGCCCGCTGCCCTATTCCAGAGTGTCTGATTTGATCCCTGCTTCTTGTAGTTCTGGTCATTTCCAAGTTTATGCGATGCTGCTGACATGTGAAAACTATTTTATGAGTCCTAGGAGGAGATACAAGCGTCATTGTTGATACTGCCTTTGGGGCTTGAAAGGCTGATCTGAATGTAATCTTTACCCCTTCCTAAGTTAGTGCTTCAGGCAAATCACACACACACACACACACCATTTGGTATTTTCATCCATGAACATAATGCACTTAAACCATTCACATCCCCATTTCCCCTTTCTAACTCCTCTTGGCTTGCCCTCCACAACACATCCTCCTCCCAACCTCATTTATATTTCCCCTTCCTCCTTCCTATTTAGTCCAATTAGTGCTGCCTAGATGTGCATGGGTATGAGATTTTACACTGGCAACCTACCAGGGGCCATAGCCCTGAAGAAAATGGAGTCTCCCTTTGGTCTCTTGGCAGCCCTTCACCTGTCAAAAACTCCTCACTTGGGAGTGGGTCCTTGTGGGCCCCTCCCCTACTCATGGTGGAGTGCTGACTGGCTTGATCTTGGACATGTCTTTGAGGGCCTCAGCAGCTGCTGTGAGTTCATGATGCAGTGGCCCTGCCATGTCCTCTGTTATTTACCTGAAGTGTAAATACTGGCATTACAATATTGGTATCAAATAGACTTTTATGCTCCTAGCATTGTGCTTGGCCCCGTGATAAGCATGCAATACGGTTGGCTTGTAATAACAGAAATCAGCTAGGGTTTGAAACAGTGAGAGTCCCAATTTTATAAATTAAAGGGAGATCCTTACAGACAAGGGGATTTTATATTTATCCTCACTTCCCTGCACCACACTGGGAAATAGTATATGAACTCAATTACTGTTGTGGAATAAAGGAACAGTTTTTTTTAAACACTGCCTGGCCCGTTATCTGTAGCCTCTTATTGGATAGCTCTTACATATTGTTCTAACCCATTTCTAATATTCTGTGTAGCCCACGAGGTGGCTTACCAGGGAGGATCTTAACCTGCGTCTGTCTGGCGTGGGAGAATCATGGCGACTCCTTGACTCAGCTTCTTTCTCCCAGCATTCTCTTCTGTTTACTCCTCCCACCTATGTTCTAACCAATAAAATGGGCCAAAGCAGTTTCTTTATTATAATTATCC